TTGAGAGTTTCACGTAGCCATTTGGCATTTTCCAATGAGTCTTCTCGGCGTATCGTTTGAATAAATATACAATATAACAAAATTAAGTTAACGTATTAAGTCATATAATTAAAATATTTTATTCTGCAATATCATAATGTTTCTTCAACTAATTAATGATTATTATTCTAACGGGACGAACACGACGACGAACTCTCGTAAAAAATGTTACTCATAATTATTTTTTAAGTTCAGTATTTTCGCAATTGTTAAAACTACCACGAAAATATTTAAGGCTGGTACTATACTATTATCGATTATTATAGACTCTTAGAGGTAATGAAATTGGGTTTGTACATATTGTAATGGATAGTTTCTGTACAAGTTTAAGCTACTGTTTACTCTAAAATGCATGTTTAAGCACAACGGGATTAATAAATGGTTTATAGTTTTATTAAGTTGTTGCAATTTATTTATTAATTCGATAAAAAACGACGAACGAGACACAAAACGGGTGGGAAAGTAAATAAAAAAGAAAAGAAGAAGCTCTTCATCTATATAAACGATATAGTACTTTATAATAGTAGGTACGATTTCACCGACATTATAATACATTGCTAGTAAAATGAAAGTAAAAACTACAACAATTTTATAGTTTAACGTCATTAGAACAATTTTGACGAGATTGCTTTATTTTTTAAAACATTTAATTCACAGTATTTTTATTGTGCTATTCGATAAAGAATTATTAAAACACGACGCTTGTATCCTAAAATAATACTGTATTATGTGATATGTAATACAATTTAAAGTTTATTTTTGTTATCAATATTAATAATCATCGATAGACATTATACATAAATATATTATATTGTTATAAGGTCAATTGACATTAAACGAATTTATTTTAAATATTGAATGAAGTTAAATGTAGGTATATTATGTATATTTCAGTGTAATTAAAAATGTACCGTGTAAGAATAGTGAATAAATTTACATAAACGTGTTATTATGGACCAACACTGTTCAAACAAATTCAATGTCCATGTTTTAAAAATCAGTATAGTCTGGCATAGCATCATTTCAATTAATATTAAATGTTCAATCGACCATTAACACTTAATATTATAACGTATTAAGCAGTACTCAATAATTACAATTATATTAATATTCTGATGAGTCTCTTCTATCTAATAATCGTTTTTAAAATGTCTTTATTAGATTCTGTAGAAAAGAGCAATGAATGTATTACTTTTAAAAAAGTGTGTTTTTTTGTCAGACACTAATAATTATTCCAAAAAAAATTCTCTAACCATCAATTACAGTGTAGGTGGTTAATGGTGGACAATTTGGTTGTAGTCTGCATTATGGTGGTAAAAAAAAAAAAAATTACAAGTAAAATAATCGAAGATGGCAGAAATATATTATATAGTAGGTACCTTGTGACAACATTTGGTTTTTTTTTCTGTAAATGTTAATACAAATGTTTTTTGGTCAAAAAGTATGAAAAAAAGGTTCCTTATACATTTTTCTAACAGCAAATAAAAAAATAAAAAATACACAATCACAGGTTTTGATTTTATAGACATTTTAATTTAATATATTCATAAAATTAAATATTTAAACAAAATAACTATGATTTTAAAAACATTATGTAGTAACTGAAACGTATCATTATATTTAGACTAATTTTAAGCTATTTTTGTTACTACCTATCTTACTCACGCTATTTCTGACTCGGTATTGACTTATATTTCAATTTAATACCTAGCTTTAATAAAGCCTAAATGATATCAAAATATTTTAATATATACGATGTTTTTGTTAAAAATCAGTTATTCAGTCCTACATATCGTATAACTAGCAGATAAATACATTGATATATCCTTAGAAATATAGGATGAGTGTTGACAAACAGTTTCTACTCGGAATCGTTTTTGGAATGCAATTATTTATTGTTAAATTGAAATTAAACACAAGCATTACAGGCATCAGTCTCTCAATGACCATAAAAGTAGGTACACTCGAAACCTACTATAGAGCAAATTTACTGCCCTTGTTTTTTTTATTTGTCATTTAATATATTATCCCTGAAATTAATTCAACACTTGATGAATACGGTAACACGAAATAAACCTACGGGAAATGATTAGTTTTATTTTAAACACTCAATATGTATAGTTTAGGGTTAAATTGTTATAAACGTGGATTCGAAAAATCATGAAACAATGAAGTTATAACCATTCAACTATAATATCACCCAACCGGGTTTATTTGCTGGATTTTTCAATTTCAAGTACTATTGTTGTTGTGAGTGCACACTTCACTAAGTTTTGACCCAGTGGATAATCTGTTGGTCATAAACGACCAACGCGTCAATATAATATAGGTAACATTTATTTATATTATACTGATCAATGATATCAATAATAATCTGTTGGGTAGTGTAATATTTATGACATAAGTAATGGATATGGTTTTGTCTATATTTAGACGGTCCATGTGCCATAACTGATTTACAAACAGTTTTCTTTTGTGAAAAGCCTATCTAATAGATTAGAGAGTATTTTCTGAAAGTGTGCAATGATTTTCAAAGTTAAATTGAAAAAAATTATTGCAACTCGTGCTCTGGGTTTCGCGTACGAATTAATTATACGAAATAATAATTACTCCAGGGAAACCCATACTCAAGCTCAAAACATATTACTTTTGAATATTAAAGAGAGAATTCTCATATTATACGAATTTACACAGGATTTATGACCGTTTTATGAGACAAAAATTAAGTAATCACATGTAAATAAATGATATTAGGTTAAATTATAATTTTAAGTATTTTGTATTTATAATAATATTCGCTTATGAAAACATTTTTATTTTTTTTATCAGTTTATGGTATTTTATAATATGTAAATTAACTATAAGATGTATGATTTACATAAGAACTCTTTAATTAAACTGTTAGTTGTTACCTCAAGCACCTCTAAATTTAAAACTTTATATTCTTAAATTATATATGTGAAATTCTGTTTATACTTCATCAATCGGTAAATTGTTTCTACCTCTGTGCATGGACTATATTTCCAAATTATTAGTTTTATTCTAAAATTGTTTCAAAATATTTGTACAGCATCTATTAATGAATAAAACATTTAGTTTATTTTGTAGATAATATTCATCATTGTGATACATAATAGTTGAAAATATAAAACTGTTTTCACAATCTCCCGAAGCAAAAACGACAAAATACAATTCAGTTTAATTTTTCCTATCATATTAAGATTTTTTTGTTTTATTTGTTCTATTTATATTATGAAAATTCAAAAATCCATGAACTCACTGGTATGCAGAGTTTCCTTAGTTTATTTTGTTTCTATATTAATTTTGAGAATTTGTTTTACAGGTCTGAACATTTTTGTTTCAGCTTTGAACTTTCCAACACATGCAAAGTTTCAGCTACTATAAAGATATTTGATAGTGGTATCGAAAAAGTTGCAATTTATTAACAATTTCTATAATATTATTGGAAAATATTATTATTAATAATATATCAACATACTTGATGAGCAAAACTAAATACCTATATTAATTTTGTATCAGGTTTTAGACTATATCCTATACCAGACTTAGCTGTATAAAATACTAGTATTATTTGAAATTAATTTAATTATAAAATATTTGTTGATATAACCGCAATGTGTATTATACTTGGAGTAAGAAATTCCATATTAATGAAAAAAATTATTATTCTCAAAAGTTATTAACCCACCTAGGTTGCGTAGGTACTTATTAAAGGGGACATATTTTTCTAACTCGTGTTTATTTCTTTATTTGGTGCCGTTAATGAGAGTTGAAACGCAAAACAGAACTTTTCAAAAGGCAATTTCAATAAATTATAAACTATTCATTTTTTTTTTTACCTAGTCATTTGATAATTAATATTTTTAACGAACTTGGTAAATATCGAAAATTTCTTCGTCTTCGAATAAAATTAATTAGTTTTTAATAATGATGATTAATTATAATTAAAACTTAGAATGCCCTTTCCGAACTGTATTTTGAAAAAAATTATGCAAAACTTTTTATCTTTATCACTCGAAACGTTCATCCGCATGATCACATTATTACTAAATTTATTCACATGTATATTATATAAATATAATATTAATATATATTATAATAATTTAATATATTAATATGCATATGCTTATTATTAATGCAAGCACGTCGTGACGGAAAAATGTGTATCTACTCAAGTGCGACCAAGTAGTCTGAATATTCAACATATAAAATATATGAATAGTATAGTAGGTAGGTATGCAAAAAATTATGAAACTCGAGTAAAATAGCAACAACTACAGCGGTAGGTTAATGACATTTTTTTTTGTTTGTGTTGTTGTTTTAAATGTAATATATGATATCGTTTGACTAATTAGTCACATCTGATGTTGATGTACATAATATGAGAGTTCTGGCTATATATTATATTATTATACTTTATGACTATCGTTTTGAATGTAATTTGAACAGTACAACAAAAATGTAAGAATTTTATATTGGATATTATTCACTGTTAAAATATCAAATAAATTATTTACAAAACAGGGAAACTACATATTATTGTCCCTTATTTATCTCTATCTGTTAGTAATTTATATGTTGATTTATTATTACGACCATATAATCGTGCAGGAGTTTACAACTTTTCACATACTATGAAGCAAAAAAAAATAACAACAGCAACAAAATAGCAACTTTGTAAAATTCTAAACACACAAATTAACAAAAACTATTTAGTTTATGGTAATAGGGGTGAACACTATATTTTAAATTGTATGGTGCAACCATTTTAAACATGCATTTTTTTAAAAAAATGTTTGTGTCCTCACAAAGTTAGACACATTATTACGGAGGAGTTACCACAACTATTACAATATAAAATGACTCGTGTGATTGGGAGACGTGTGGAGATGGATGGCCAAGAATGAACGACATGCATAACATGCGGAACAATAAATCCCATGCACGAGTGTCATTCTTCGTCAGCATACCGTAGCCAATCACAGCCGAGACCAGATATAGTATACCGCATACGAACAAACAACTTTATATGGGCTAAAACTTGTACATCGGATCAAGCACTCCGGGTCAATCGTTTCCAACAAGAGGCTGTTCCGATGACGAAGATTCTTCAACTATATAGGTACGATCGAAGTGATTTCGCAGGTACTTTGGTGAAGTCGCTCCCATCCACAGCGACAGCCAACTCTGTACCTAACCGTTAACTACTAACAAGTATACCTACGTATTTTATTTTTTAGTAGTGGTAGCGAGGACAAAGTACGATATGATTGGCCTATCATAATTATAATTATTACTTATTGCAATATATTATACACGAAACTCACGTCGAATTTCGATTGTAATCTGTGAAATACAAGATTAAAAAGTAAGTATAGGTAATTTAAAAGTCACTGCACGTGGTCGGTATTCCGTCAAAACATTGTGTTTTCCGGTGCATTAGTATTTGGACGTTTGATTAATATTTCTCATAACTTTTATAATATTTTATTAGAACTGCAAAAAAAAAAAAAAATGTCAACTATTGATTACAATAATCGTGGCGTATGCATTCGGAGTTTTGTGGTAGATCCCTTACATCGTTAAATTTGTAGATATTAACCACCTACGTAGTAGTAGTAGTAGATCACCTGCTACACGGATACGCCAAAACGCTTTGGATTTATCTCGCCGGCAAACATAAAAATAATGCACTGCCGCAGCAGTGTTATCACATACGCTGTATACAGAGGTAAGTGTAGTATAAGTATTTCTTGGCTGCGGTAGTGGTAGTAGTAGCTGTGCGCCTTACGGTATACTCGGTGGTAGCGGTGGCGGTGAAGGCGGTCATATATGTAGTCCATATTAATGGCGTGTCGTTTATCCAGTCGGTGCGACGAGCAAAAGCCTCCATTTTTCCCGGTCGGCATAAATTATCCCTCTATACGTCGCCCCTCGTACATCTGTTACATCAGTGTGTGTATGTGTGTGTGTGAATATATATCACGAGGCGAGGGATCTATACATAAAGCACGCTGTGGAAAATTTCCCTAGAAGCTTTTCTGCATTAACAATTCTAATCCGCGGCGATTATTTCTCATTTTGAGCTCTCGGGCCGCGTACACGGCGTAATGAGGAGATGGAGGGCAAATGGGGGAGGGGTAGCTGCAGAAACGAATCGCGATCTTGACGGTGTGGATTTTATTTATTTTTTAGTAATTCGTTTATTTCCGGTCACCGCGCGTGTTGGTCTGACAACCACAGTGAACTGAATATATCTATATATAATATGACGTATATAGTTATCATTATAATATACGTCATATAAATATATTATTAGGTATATTGTTTCGACTGTTATCGAAGACCAAGGTATACGCCAGAAATTTGAACTTAACTACGAGTTACGGCTGTATACCAATTTATTATTAATTCTTTAATATCTACATGAATTACATGTATTTTACGTATTGGAGATTGTGAGTTTGATTTGCTAAAGTAAAATAAAATTTGTTTTTTTTATTTCACAATAATTGTTATCTATACAATTTTGTACAATAAGCATATAGGATAAGGGTTAAAAAAAACATGGATTTCTTGAATAAGATGCCACTCATTAGTGACACTTAGCTTGGTGTTTTGTTTATGGTAATTAAGGAGGGATATTGAATTGAAATAGTCACGACACCATTTCCTTTTGAGTCTAAAATAAAATATTAAAAAAAAAAATAATTACAAAAATATAGTTAAAATCAGTAGGAAAAATATTATTATTATTATACGTTAATTGATATTGATAATTGAATTACTACTCTTTCGGTTTCTCATAACTCATAAATTGTCTTGTCAATTTGAGAAGCGGACAGCAAGGTACAAGTAAGTGTAAATCGAGTTTGTCTTTTAATTTATAATTCGTTTATCGTCACTGTGTTGTACACGTAGTACGTTGTTAGAATATTATACCAATGTCATATTATCTTATACAACACACAAAACGCTGATACGATTCCGTTTGAAGTTAATTGGGTTATAGTATAGCATATTACAATGCGTATTGAATCGTGATAAAACGACGTTAAAAACTTAAAACCAGTGGAAAACGTCGTCGTAGTATCCCATCGATACGTCTCTCGTAATATTTTCTCGGTTAAGATTTTTTTCTCGGTCCCCTCCCATACCCCCTTCCACCCTTCACCGGTCTGACTGTCGCTACTTTCAAAGACATGTTTTGCCCGTCGAAAAGTGTATATTCTCATGATTTATGATGCAAACCATCAATATACCGTCTAAGATATTTTCTTTCACGTTCACTTTGCCCTCGTTTTGAAAATCGTTCGCTAACTTTAATATATTATTATATCCTGGCTTGAATATAACCGAGTATTATCAATTAAAGCGACATTTGAAAATGTGGTAAAAATATCAAAGTTTTTAGTATTATAATATTAGAGCACAGATATATTTATCCAGCAATATATACTAGTTTTATTACTATTCTATATTTATAACTACTGTACTTCATTGGGTAATGTATAATACGTGTTGGGTACCTGCTTATATACAATTTTGTTTCTATTTTTGATATCCTAATATTATATCAGTGTACATTTTTAAATATTATACAATTTATTATATAATAATATGTCCTATGCCTATAAATAAACAACAATAAGTACAGTGTTTATAGATATTCTTTTTTTTTAAATCAAAAATAATTCAGGTACATTTTTGATTTGGAATAAAAACAGTTGTAAAAAAAAAAAAAATAGTTACCATTATTTTTATTTACTCTCAAATATTGTGTGTATAGCTTCCAAAACACTAACAACAACATTCAATTGAAATTATATTATACTGAATAATTTTAAATGCGCTGTAAATAAAAAAAAATTCAAAATACATTTAAATATTTAATACCTATACACGTCATGTAAACTGCACAAAATCCAAATTTACGCTATAGGACTACCGAGAAAAACGTATTGTATTGCGCCTGCTGTGCCGGGAGGTATGTCTAGATTTTTGTGATAACTTTTCATCGTCGATAAAATAGAATTGAAATACCTACGGACCCCAACACCACTACGGACCTACATATATATATATAATATACGCCTAGGAGTATAAATGTACAGTCGTTCCATTTCGTTGCGTTCTAACTCGCAGTAAAATACACCATACGCATATGTGAATCGAGAAATAACACGTACTCAGTTGTATGCTATAGGTAGGTAATATATATACCGTTAAATTGCAGGTAGGTATATAAACTGGAATTTATCGCGTTACAATAGTCGTGATGGAGAAGATGGATGTTATATATTATTATATATAGGTACACATACACACGCATGTGACGTATCGTACTATGATGTATATGTATCTATGAATCTTTGTTAACTAAAATAATAAACTAAGCATGTGTATAAGAGAGTGAAAACTATCAGAATAATTGGATAGGTATCAAACTCGATTTTCGATTTCACAATAACGATAGATTATATTGTTTTTTCACTAATGAAACTCTAAGAAATTGTTTTCTTCATTCATAAGCTATGCGAACGAATCGATTTTAATATGCTTTAGAGTATTATAATTATACGCAATAAGTTTATCATCGTTGGGCGAGAACAACATCGGAACTTACTAAACATCGGTGCTTTCATCACTTCCTACACAATTTGTCATCGTTTAATAATTATTTAGGTATACTGCAGCGATAAGATGGAAAAATTAATTAAATTATAAATGATTTATATCTATCCCGAAAAGTAGATAGTTTTTTTACTCAAAGTAATAAAAAAAGACATAATTCAAAGTGGTTTTATGAGTTATGACTACTGCTTATTAAGTGGCGTCTTTTATACGAACATATTATTATATTGTTATAATATATAATATTTAGTATAATATAATTTCGTCTATAATAGTTAATAAATTATTGTGCAGTACGTGTTCGACCTCCGACTGAACAGCACGTGTACATCTTTCGCGACCGTGCGCTTTTATAGCTTCCGATAGCACTCCGTTAATTATGCCGGTGACCAGCGTACAGGTAATATAATCATTATTTTTATTATTATCTGACGCGGAACATTCGACGTAATGAGCGACAAAAATACAAAAGGCAAACCGCCTTTTACAAAAACATTAAACAAAAATATCACAAATACTCACTCGAAAACACCTTCTGTAAAAAACATACCCACAAGCCATATTAAACAAATTCCCATCTACTCCAAATCAAACAGTTCAAAAACAAATCCTAGTTCGAACAAGTCAAACTCAAATGTCTCTGTTGATAATATTGATACATTACCGCCACTTCCACGCTCCACTCCTACCTCTGCCAACACCGCTGCTCTCCTAATTACCGCTGCAGCTAATCAACACGATAACCACTCCAATTCTGATAACCAAAACGTTATCTTTTTCAACGACGACAACGCCCAACCCCACCCAGCATACAGCTCAGAATCACCTACCAGTTTTGCTACGATTACGGCAAACGAAAAAACTCCATCCAGGGAACAAGCAATTGTTTTCAACTCTATAGACGGTATCAGACAAATAGAATACATACTTGCAATTGGAAAACTGATCCTCCCTCGGGACATAATATTCACTTCAAGGATATCCAACAATCGTTTCTGTATTTTTTTTTCAAGCAAAGAAGTACTCGATACACTTCTTGAAAAATCCAAAACGATATCAATAAATGAACACACCATCCCTATTCGCAGATTGATTAATCCAGCCAAAAAGATCACGATATCAAATGTGTGTCCATCCATACCTAACATAATAATTCTTAACGCATTAAAAAACATCAATATATCTCCAGTCTCACAACTAAACCATATAAAAGCCGGCATCAATATTGCGGGATACGAACATATCCTGAGTTTCCGCCGCCAAATGTTTATAAATCAAGAAGATATCACCAAACTACCTGGGTCGTTAGTTATTAACTTTAACCAAACCTCATTTAGAATCTTTTTTACTGACGACAGAATCACTTGTTTCCTATGCAAAGAGGTGGGTCACACTTCTGCGTCATGTAAAAAACAAATTTCTCATAACAGCCCAATTGCAACCGTTGATGATCATACTACAGAACTACTCGAAGATATTCAGCTTCCTGAATTACCTCCAATAGACACAACCCAACCACAAAGTACCATGGACTGGAATCAGGAAAACAATGATATAATTTCATCCCAAC